AATTGGAATCATACTTGTCTGTGACAAGATTAATACGCTATCTAAAAGATGTCTTTTTAAGAAACTCTTTAGTTATGCCTTCCAGTTTAGAAGACAATGTTGTGCATATAATTTATATTGGACACAATTCAATTTGACGGTGAATTTTTTTAATGATATTTGGATGTCTCCTACTCTTACTTGGTACCATATTTTACTCACCTACTACACCCCACTTTTTCCTAAAACTTAGCTTTCCAAAATTGGGGTGTGTGTATTTTAAGTGAAGAAGCTGATTTTCTGTCCAGAATGAATGCATGGAGATGCTGTAAAATGGCTGCTACTCCCTCCACCTCTGCCCCTCTCTTTCCTTCAGTAGCAGCATGGAGGGGGAGGGGCAGCTCAGGGACCAGGGGAAGTGGTGCAGCTAAACTCTGCTTTGTTCCTGCTCTACCCAAAGTTTAAAAACAGCTGGCTGGCAGCAGGAGTAGCATTTCTATTCAGGAAGTGCAGATGGAGTAATTTGATTTCATGGGTCATTATAATCTACCTGATTCCTGCCAATTATTTTTCACTCTGCAGGTGTTGATGACTATCTCTGCTTCTTAATGTTTTAATGTTTCATTAATCAAGGTATACTTTTTGCAGCAATTTTGCCATCTGTTAGCTACTTGTGGTCTCTCTTCCTATTTTACAGCCCTGAAGACTGTTTTTAGCTCTCTCTCAAAATCTTAGATCCATCCATGGTATCCACTCGTCAGCAGAAGTTACAGTTTCAGCTAGTGCTTGAGCAGCTAGGAACTGCTGAATGTTTAGCTGTGAAAGGGGTACCTTTTGCATGAGTAGGAAAGGGACAGCAGGGGAGCTGAGGAGTAGTCTCTGTCACTGCTATTTGTGACCATAAATCTGGAAAGATCTTTTTTTCTTCATTCTGTCTTCACAAAAACAGGGTGTTCTCATTTGGGGGCATGTGGTATGTGAGAAAATATGGTATGGTTAATCTTTTCAATAGGCAAAGTAACAACTTTATTTACTTGATTCCAAGGTAAGGTTTTCCCTGCCTCAGGTAGTAACCCCTTTGTGACCTCTGCACTCCTGTCTAGCCCCATCCTGCAGCCTCAGGCCCTCCCCTGCCCCCACTGCTGCTTTTGCCCCTCCACCTTGTCCTCCCTCCCTTCCCCTGGTCTCTTCCCACCTCCAAGTCCCTCCCCTCCCCTTTGCTCCAGCACCAGTAGGCCTGGTTCCCACTCCAGCCTGGGGCACAGAGCACAGCCCCAGCTCAGCTCCATAGCAGCAGAGCCAGTTCCATGCTGCTGCTGTGGGGCTGGGCTGAGGCTGTGCTCTGTCCCAGGCTGGAGTGGGAATGGAGCCTGCCAGCCTCGGAGCAAGGAGAAGTGGTGGGGGCAGGGGCGGATGAGAGTCGGAAGTTGTTGGGGTAGAGATAGAAAAGGGGGCGAAGGCTTGGGGCTGGGGGGGGCAGGCACAAGGGGAGGTAAGTTGGAGGGGGACAAGGGTGCAAGATGCATGTCCCCTACTGCCTGTCTCTATCAATACAGCACACACTGCTTTCCTTCCTGTTGTGGAGATGTATTTAAGATGGTCCTCCAATGATTAAAATTCTATATGTGGTAATACATTTATAAATTTTCCACGCATAGCATCTAATTACTGGGGGGTTGTGTTAAATTCAGGGTCATCTTGAATTTGGGTAAATATGGTAGTTTAGTAACAAGCACAGTTTATTTTCATGGGTGTTGAATCAGCAAAGTAGGAAGCAGATTCTGTATGTCTGTTAAATTATCCATAGCAAGTCAGCTTGACATGCTTTTGATAAGCCTTTGTTTATGGTAGAAGGTCTAAAGTATGTGCAGTATTGGTAAATGTTTAAAAATATCAGGAAATAGATCTCAACTTAGTGGTCTTTTTTTCAAAAACTTGATAAAATTTCTTTGAACTTGTGACAAATTAATGTTGATGCACAATAGAATATAGTCTCTTTTGGCGATGCCCAGCCTTTACTGTCCGTGGATTCCTAGATGGGCTACGCAGGATGAAGGGCAGTAATGATCCCAATAAATAAGGCTACTTATATACTAATAGTCTCTTATTAAATAATGCATACAGTGTTACTTGGAGTGCAAATGAAAAGTCAACCCCACTTAGGCACAATTTAACAAGGATTGCATCAGTTAATGGAGTGGCATTGTAATTGAGGAAGGGGGGGATGAGTGTGTTGAGATCATGTAGGGTCCTACTATTTTCTGATGAAGGATGCACAGAGATGGACTGTCATGTTGGTAACATGTAGGTACTCCTGTTTCTTTTCCCTTTAGTGGCACAACAGCCTAAATAGCTGAAAATCATGCAAGTCAAAGGATCTCAGAGAAGTTGATGTCCAAGAAAAGAGCAGCATTGACTTCAACAGAGAGATTACAAAATGCATGCACTTCATAGCTACAGGAACATAGTGCCTAGAGCACATATTTTGTAATTCTGTCCTTCTGCCATGTCCTTGAAATTGTTTTGGCCCTCTGATTGGTTGGGTTTTTGTTCAGCCAGTTAAGTTTCATTCCTGTCCATCACATTAGATTATTCTCATCAGGCGCTTTGTGTAGAAGTGCCCTCTGTTACGAAACTTGTTTCTCCAGTAGGAGGAGGAGTAATGGCACCAGAGAGAGAGACACTTGTGAGAAGCTGGGGCGCAACAGCAGTGAGTTATTAGGGGATACAGTGAAGCAAAACCCATGATTTTCCTTTTTATTGGAAAAACTGTAGGAAAATTCTGATGGGGCATAATGAAGTTTTCCTTCTGTTCCTACATTTTCTGCAGAAGTCACAGATCTATTTTTTCTGAATTCTTGGCACTGAGCATGGTTATAAGAAAAGTAGTAGTTGAGGGTACAGGGCAGGTCTGTCCAATTGGTGGCCTGTGGGCTGCATACAACCTGCAAGGAGTTATTTTTTGTGGCCCCTAGGCTCGCACCTGGCTGCCACTCCATGGTTTTGGCTGCAATAGGAGTTGGGGGCTCTGGGCTCCCTTTCCCTGATTTGGCTTCTGCTTCCTACTTCCACCCCATTGGACAGGATGGGACAGAGAGGTGTGGCACAGCCTGTGCACTGGAGCCCATGGCCCAGTGGCTGTCTAGGGTGGCTAGGAACTTAAGATGGGTCTGAATGCATGTGATGTAGCTAAGGGGGAAGCACTTAGGTGCCTGGGGGGACCTGTGGCTCACACTGGTGTGGCTCATGCAATGTGCAGCTACCACTGGTGTGGCTAGCAGGGTATCTGGCCCCTGGCCATTTGCAGGTGGATAGTCCTAATGTAATAACTGCTCTGTACCATATCCAGTTGCATGTAAAGAGGCTGATTCATATAGTGTTCTTAAGATCCACTGAGCTGCTTCTGGAAGTTGGCAAGAAGACCCTGGATTTGAATTCAATTACTATGTCCTTAGGAAGGATTAAGAATTTTTTTTCTCCCATTATGTTGGTGGATTCTGTCGCTTTATTTTATATGCTTAGATTTCATAGACATTAGGGCTGGAAGGGACCTCAGAAGATCGAGTCCAGCTCTCCGCCATTTTTTCTAAGACCTTCCCCAGGATAGAGGTCAGGCTGATGGTCCTGTAGTTTGCCGGGTCCACTTTCCTCCCTTTCTTGAAGATAGGCACCACGTTGGCCTTCTTCCAGTCTTTGGGCACTACATGAGAGCGCCAGGAGTTCTCAAAGATCCGTGACAGGGGCTGGGCTATGATGCTCGCCAGCTCCTTGAGTACCTCAGGGTGTAGATTGTCAGGGCCAGGTGACTTGAAGGTATCCAGCCTCTCAAGGTGTTCCTTCACAAGGACAGCATTGATGGAGGGCAGGGGATCTCCCTCACCCAGACCTCCCTGTCCCATAGTGGGCATGGGCGTCCCATGGGACTGATGGAAGACCGATGCAGAGTACCCATTTAATAGGTTGGCTTTTTCCTGGGCATCAGCTGTCAGTTATCCCATCCGGTTTAGGAGGGGTTCAATGTTGCCCTTGCTTTTCCTCTGGCTCCCCACATATGAAAAAGGACTTTTTATTGTCCCTTTTAGTTGAAGCTAGTTGGAGTTCAGTTTCAGCCTTGGCTTTCCTGGTTTGCTCCCTGCAGGACTGGACCAGTGCAGAATATTCCTCCTTGGAGGTGAATCCCATCCTTTGTAGGCCTGTCTTTTTAGCCTCAGGAGATCTGCTAGATCCCTGGAGAGCTGCGGGCGGGGGGGCTGCTGTGCCCTCTTGCTGCCTTTCCTCCGAGATGAAATAGAATTAGTTTGTGCATTGAGGATCGCTCCCTAGACTAACTAGCTGAGCATGACCAAAAGTCTTAATATATAAAAGTAAATGGGAAGGTAATAGTACTTTTATTATTTTATTTGCTGTTTTTTATAGTTTTAAGAGAAGAAACAATGGGGAACTATGTAAATATATCTTGTTCTTATGTTTGGATTGAACATGCTCTTGTTTACTATAGCCAATAGTAGATTCTCTCTACATCCGTTTCTCATATTATTTATGATCAGGGGAGGAGGCATAATTGGAGTCCCTGTGTGTTTGAGTGAGGGAGATACAGAAATCTGGAATATGTGAATTCCTTTAGGGGCATGATCTCAGATTTACTGCTGATTGCCAAACATTTCATGTAATATTAAAGACAAAATGATAAAATAAAAATGAAAGATTTAAGTTCCTATTGAAAACGTTGACAGAATAATTAGGTTACTTTGAAAGGATTTGATTCTGTTCAATCTGCATTTTCCAACAGAAAATGTAATTTTATTTATTTATTTATTTATTTTTTTATTGGAACAAATATTGTTCTTTTAATGTGAAATGCCAGTCCTAATGTATTTGGTGATATGATATCTATATTGCATAACTATACATTTCAATAAAATGTATAATAGACGCAAGGGACTTAAATGTTTAGTTTCGAGCTCGCTGTTGTTTTTTCTTTAAACCATCTGAAAATTTTTTTTCCTCCTCCTACAGGTAAATTGGAGCATTCATACTCTTCAGAAACAGAGGTAAGAGAAGTTTCATAATGTTATTAATTCAGCACATTGCTTGCTACCTGTTTGTCAGTAAAATTGCTTTATATTCTTAAAATATCTTTGCAAAATCATTACACAAATGCAAATTTTATGTATGGCTTGTATTAATGCAAAATGAGTGAGTTCTTTACTGCAGGGTATTCCATCCCATATTCAGAAACAGCAGGAAGAAAAACAATGGGAAAGGCAAACATCTTCCAAGAAAAAGACTTAAGTTATATTTTGTAGGAAATATATATTTCAATTTTCAGTAATTTTAAATTAGTGTTTTGCATCATGCTTTATTTTATAGTTTCTTTCTTAAATTATTTCCTATTTACACTTTTATTAGGTCAAAGCTGACAGTGGATTATATAATTATTGCATAATATTTAACATCCAGTTTGTTGAAAGTTTGGGAGAAATCCCCAAGTATCTCAGTAAAGTATTTCTAATTTTAAATTAAAAAAAATTTTTCACATCAGAATCCAGAAATAAAGAAAAAAAAACTTTGCAAAAATAATAGTGCTAGGTTTTCTAGGCCCAGGAAATAATAAATGTTTTGTGATCTGTAATTGTTTTGCCCTGTGAGGTAACTGACAGTGGAAGTATTATCGTTATAATGCTGGTAACTAAGGTATTTTAGCATATCATAAACTGTATAAGCTGTTTGAAATAATTTTGACCTTTATATTAGTGGATTTGTAACCATTTGAATGACTTGTGACAGCTACAGAACCATTTAACTTTTCTGTTGGACATTAGTGCTAATAAGAATTGTGAATTTTCCTATAAAGGTTTATGTAGAAGATTAGAAATTAAAAAAAGGGGTATTTGTGTGTCTGTTGCTTTCATAAAATAATGTGCTCTAAATTGAGTATGCATTTAACTGATATTGTTTAGCCCTGCAAACAGTATCAATATTTTTCTCACAGCAAATAAATATTGTGTGGAATACAAAAATGATCTTGTTGTATTACTGTTATGTGCAAGAATTCTAGTCATGGGCCAGGACCAAATTGTGCCCTTAAAATTTTATATATTCATTTGGTGGTGGCACTTGTATAAGAAGGTGGCATTAATTTTAAATATAAAATTAATTTTGAAATATTCTTTATCTGTTGATTGTGTCCTTTGCCTAATGTGCTTTTAAATTTTGTTTTAAAAATATTTGATACACAATTAGAATGGATATATTTTAATTCTTCATATTTGGTATAGTACAGGGCCATGCAGCCTGTATGCTCAATGCAGATAACATCTTCAAAGAAAATGTTATTGAAATGTATGCATTTTAATACTAAGGTACTGTATGCTAGATTCTGGGTCTTGTATATGTATAATCTGGCCTCTGATAGACCGGTGGGAGCTGTCCCGATGACAAAATTCTCAAATGGCAAAAATTAGTACAGTTTTATAATTTTTATAATGCAAATTTTGCAGTTCTGTCTCCTGGGTACAACAAGGGAATGTCAGCTGAGAGTTGTGTAGAGCTGCATCTCCCCTACAACAGTTCTTAGTTGGAAAAGACCTATGGTTAATTGCAGGGTGGATTTGATTTAAATTAAATTGATTTAAATCACTGATCAGGAAACCTCAGCTGAATCATTGTTTTGTACAAAAAGTGCATTCTTGTTGTTTGATATCCTTTATTCATTTAACTTCTTGAAACTTTGCACTTTTAGAGAAAGGTAAGGGCTTGACTGTGTGTACACAAGCTTGCAGAGAGACAATAGGGCTGATGGGTGGGTAATCAGGTCTGTTATCTCATCTCCCTATACTGCTGTTAAGAAGGATGTTCTCTCTGGAGACAGCAAACTCTCCCTATGCCTGAAGAAGGGTGTTTGTACCCAAGAACTATTTAGTTGGTCTAATAAATGATTTCACATCTACCCAAAGAACCTTGCCTGCCTATGATCTCTGAAGACTTAAATCCACAGTCTGAGAACTAAAACTAAACGTCACAGGGATGGCTTAATGGGATCTTCTAGACTGAGCACAGAGTCCCATTGGGTAGAGTGGTTCTCTTCAATCTTTCCTAATCTATAGAGGAGCCTCTGGGAGCCCCATAAGACTGGGCCCCTAATATAGTTCATGGCCTGTTGTGACCTATTTATAAAATTTCTGAAAAGGTTGCATGAATATATTGTCTCAAACAGTATATAATTAGAAGTTATAATCCCTATTCCATGATGATATCTTTGAGCTTTAACTTAAATTAAAGCTAACTTTATACACAGTTGTGTTTTTTTTAAAGCATCTTAAAAAAAAATATAAGGAGGCTGCCCCCAGGCCTTTGCTCAAACTTGGTTCCACTGCTCTCAAGCTTCTGGCTGGGCCTGTATGCTCTACAGTGCCCAGTTGGGCACCCAGAGCCTTATGGGCCAACTGTGTGGCTCTGTAACCTCCTCTTTACTACACCGCATGCCTTGTGGGTGTTACCAGTAGGATGTCCCTTTGTTGAGGCCTCAGCCCCCTCGGCTTCTACCCCTTCAATCTAATTAGGCCTATCAGCCTAGTTCCACTGGATAGGACCTGGCTTTGAGACACTAGCTTCCCTCATCTGTTCTGATCCTGTATAATGTGCCCCTGGCCCCTCTGTGCATGCGCCCTTGCTGGTGCTGGGCCCCTCTGTGGCTCACTTAGCACTCAAGCCTTGAGCCTGCCCGTCTGGACACCAGTGAGGCCTCCACCTCCCCTATAGCCTCTTCCACAAACCACTGGTTTTCCCCAACATAAACATAAGCCCCAGGCTATAACAGAAATATCAGCATATAGCAGCCTTCTGCCCCTGTATGAGTATAAGCCCTTACTTACTTAGCATCCTGTGGTCCCCTGGGCAGGCACTCCTTCCTCGGTGGCAGCCAGGGAGAGAGCACCCCTGCTAGCCCCAGCCCTGGGCTTAAATGCTCCCCTGGTGCTGCCTGCTGTCACAACCCAAAGTGTGTGATTTTTGTTTTTGTGTGCTTCGGCACTGCTAAATTGTTCCCGCTAAATTATAGCTTCTTTGCACGGTGGAGTTTTCTGCTGCAAAAGAGAACCCCGGTGCAAGGGAGAATTTCCCGCCAATTTGAAGCTTTCTTTGCAGGGTGCATTTCTTTGTTGCAGCACAGAAATGCTCGTTGCAAAGAGTTCCCGCCATTTGTATGCTAATTCGAGTCCCATTATTGGCCAGTTCTAAATTATTCACATGTGGCGGCTAGTGATTGGCTTGCTAGCCGTATAAAAGGCTTGAGTGGTTTCCGCCCAAGTTGGAGGACTCCACGAACAAGGGAGGAGGAGACTTCACGCTGTGTGAAGATCTCTAAGCGCTGCGGATCCTTATGGACCCAGTGCATTTAAAGCAGGCAACAGAGGTCTGATCAACCTCTAGCCTCTCCCCGTCGCCAAGTGCAGTCCAGACGTATGCCTTCCCGCGCGCAAAAGAACCGGACCCACGGAGCCTAGCAAACTTCGTGTGGAGCAGAAGGGCCCACGGAGCCTAGCAAACTTCGTGTGAATCCTTGACCGATCTCAGAGCTCTTCTACCCGGGTTCGAGTCCTGCAGGTTTATTTTCCCATCGCCGAAACCCATTGTGACGTACCCTCGTATTTTATATCTTCCCGTCGCCGGAACCCTTTGCGACGTACCCTCGTGCCCTGCAGGTTTGAGTTTTGTTTTCTTTTCTGTCTGTAACCGCAACTCAAGCAAGCTTTCCAGCCTGCACCACTGCCATCTCGGTGTAAGTAAACAATCTTTAAAACTACCACTACGCATTTGTGTCTAATTCCAGCTCGACGGCCTTCCCTCTCCGACCCGGCGTGCCCGGGGTGCTGGCCACAGCCCGCGTGCAGCACGGAAAAGGGCTTGGGTTGCTCCTGGCCCGCACACCTGCATCTGGTCATCTGACTGGCTGTAGGTGCTGGCCAATTACCTCGTTAGCCATTCACCCTGGCAACCTGCAGCTGCAGCACCCTGCCTGCCCACAGAGCTCCCTTGCTAGGCTGCTTCACTCTGTAAGTAACAGAGAGGCTGGGGCTCTTTGTTACAGTATATTGTACAATGACCAAGAATGGTCAACATTTTAGAATTTTTTTTTTCCATTGGAAAATGAGATTTTGTTTAAAGTTTAAGTTTTAACTGGAGAAAAGCTCAAATGAAATGTGTTGCAATGGCTGGAACTGAAGTTAAATAAAATAATTTTGTTTCTGGATGCGTTAAAACATAACTCTCCATTTACTTGAGCTTCTGTGATGCTTCATTTGAATTGGGGGTGTGGATCTTATGATTAAGGTGATCATATTTCTTGAATCTCAGAATAGGATAGGCCTCCCTCTGTTCTGCTCTCCTTCATGCTCAGCTGTTTCTGAGCTGCAGGCTTAGCAGAGCATGCTGGTGAGCAGGGATGTATTTTGTGGGGAGACATCTTTTTCAGGGTCTCATCAATTTCTTCATATGAATGCTTTGGTTTCTAGTGGAGCGGTTCCTGAAAATGGGGCAAAGCATTCATTTGTAGATACCTAAAGGACGCCTTGGGTCTGGTCTTTAATGAGTTTGCTTTTGGTTCTGCTCCATTGACATACAAAATTTCCCGAGATGTCACTGTTCTGCCTGTGGTTGAGTTACTGGAATGGCATCCAAAACGCATCCATTTGGGAATGTCAGAAAATTTTGCTTCATACAGAAAAGTGGAAAAAAATAAAATGTTGGTATTTCTGTATTTGAAATTTCTGGAAACTTTTTGGTCAGAAGGAAGTTTTTGATATTTCAAGTTTTTGTTTGTTTTAATTCAGGAGGGGGGAAAAGATGATGCAAGAATATCCAATATTTCCCTTTAATGGAAACTTCATTTTTTTAATCTGATCCAGCAAGAACTACTTTTAGTAACTGCCTTTTTTCCTAAATTATTTGCTTTTCTCTGATATTTGTTAATTTGAAGACCCTTTCAGAGACCTGGTAACAGGGCTTCAGTATTTTTCAGAACAAATGTTCATTAAGCTTTTGCCTAGTGTAG